TATATAATATGAACATTTTACGTAATTCGTTGTATAATTTTCAAGAAAAGTAAGAAGTCAATTGCTACTATTTTTATGACTTGTAAAGATATTAAATAAACTAATGCTTTTCTTTAGGCATTAATTATTATTCATTTTTAAGTTTTGTGAACCGTTATGAAAATAATTTGTGCATTTGATCAAGATAAACTGTTCTGTTGTTAAAAATTGTTTACATAAGCTTACAAATTTCTGAGCGGTAGCGATAAAAGTAAATAAAATATTTACATAATTGAGCATGTGAAAAGACGTAGCCAAAAATTTATATAGGTATATTTCTGTAATTCAGCTTAATTCAAGTCAATTTCTTTGAGATTCATAAACATGAAACACGCATAAAGTATGCCAATAAATGCTTTAAAAAATAAAAAAAAAAAAAAATGAAATACTATTTGCATCAAGTACTAATCTCCTGAAATTAGCTATTTCAACAACTGCTATAGCCAATAAAAAATATGTGAATTTCTGTTTGGTGTATTACAACTTAAAGCTGAAGTATTAAGCATGCTAAAATAAAATAATTTTCTTTCCTATCTCTTAAACATTTGTATATAAAATGATTTCTTAATAAATTATGATAATATTGTGAATAAATCAGAAATATCACTTTTTAAAGGAAAAAATGGAAAGTACTCCCAACAGGCTGTTAATAAAACCTAAACAAATCCTTGAACTATGCAGAAATATCATTTTTAAAAGCTTTTATGTTATGCGCATACATTTAGATTTCGAACTATCTTTTAATAATTTTCTGTACATAGTAAATTATGGATATAATCTTTATTACTTTAAAATAAAAATTTAAGAATAGCAACGCATTTCATTTTAAATTTAACATATTTTTACTGTAAAATAGTATACATGCACGGAACAGCTTAGAAACGCGTATGTTTCCCTGCCGTAATGCAATGTTTTAAAATTACAAACATGAACGCTTGTTGGCAGGGTTTCATTCCCTGAGAGTGGAGGAAACTACGAACCCTCCCTCCTCCTATTCTAACCTCCTTGGCAAAAACAGATGGATATCAGCCAGTTAGTCTTTGATCTCGACTTAGAAAGATACATGAGTAAATAATATTTCAAAGGATGAAACTCCATGAGGGCTTACTTCCGTCACAGCAATTCGAGTTCCAAAAATTTTTCTCTATGGCGAAGCAAGTCGTCAAGCTAGTATAATTCAAAGGCAGAGTTCCGCACAACAGAGAGACTATTGCCTTCATCATATTAAATGTGGCAGGAGGCTTCGACTACGTATGAAGCGCTAATTTATAAATTCATGCACTTCAGATTCCAAGGTCAGAACTACAGATTATGTATTCCTTTGTTAAGGACAGACATTTTTTCGACTAACAATGTAAAGCAATCTCTTATTAAAAAAGAAGTATAAAGTCAAAATACCCGAGAAACTCATATTTGACCCGATCCTGTATCTATTCTATAAGGCTAATTTTCCAGAACCTGATAAAACTATGATTCTTCATTTTGGTTTGCTAAGTGGATAACACAGACCTTATTGCGAAAGAAATTCACATCTATATATATATATCTCGCACACAGGACACTGGCGTGTCAAATGGAGAGGGAATATAAATGTCCTAAATCGCTAATTTTAATCATCCTCAAATAATAATAATAATTATAAAAATCACACACATCATATTATCTCAATCAAGCGGAAACAAATTCTTTTCGATGAAATTGTTCCTTAAGTCCAAAAAGCCAACTATTTAGCAACAGTATGAAGCCCAGCAAACTCACATTGTATAATCACTTTGTGATAAGGTCACATAAAGGAAGAAGAAACTGAAGATTAATATAGAAAAAAAATGTCTCGAGAGCATAAAATGAATATTATTATTATTTAACTTCCGAATACGTTTTCAATAGTTGTTAAGTTTAATTAATTGTTTAAAAAATAATATTAATATGTTGGCTCTGTTTCAAACGCAGGCTCGGGAGCCACGTATTGCTCTCGCACGTAAAATGTAGAGAATTTGAATTTATTTAAAATAGATAGGTTTTTCTCTTGTTGTTTGTATGTAGCCATTTTTTGGGCGTTCAATAAAATTTTCATGCGGTGTTCCATTCCATCGTTTTTATTGGAGTTCAACACCACACTGTTGAAGCATTAACACTACACCACAACGTTAATAACGTTGGCACCGCCTTCGTGCCAACGCTGCAGCCAATTACTGGTGTTGAACTCCAATGAAAACTCTAATGATGGAACACCGCATGAAAATTTTATTGAACACCCAAAAAATGGCTACATACAAACAACAAGAGATAAACCTATCTATTTTAAACAAACTCAAATTTTCTACATTTTACGTGCGAGAGCAATACGTGGCCCTCGCCTTTGATTCAAGATTTGACATCGGTAACAAAAGTCTTACAAATGCTTCTAAAGATTCGATAAATTACCATATTTCAACGTATCAGGACGAAGTTTCTATGTATTACCACAAACACGCACTTGCTTGTCGGAAACCATATTCTACATGATGACCTAAAATTGGAGCCCATAGAGAAATTACGAAGAGGATAAATATTAATTTCTACAGAAAGCATTGGATAGTAATTACTTAAAGCATTTAATTGTTCCTAGGTCATTTATATATCGCTCTTACATAATTTTCACTTGATTTATTTGAATTTTTCCCACTTCTCAGCCACAATATTTTATTTGTAGCTTTGTATTAATTATTATGTTGGCATTTACGTATGGATATTTCCCGTTTTTTTCGTACCCTTGTAAGGATCCTAAGTTTTACTAACGTTTATTTTTATTTTAAAACTGTACTATCACTTCTTATTTTCTACTTCCGGCCAGAATTAAATGCTTTAACTTGTTTATGCAAATTGTCTTGCTAACGCCCAAGTACTTAAGTTGTGGCTTTTTGCCAAGCGGGAGAGAGAAGGAGTTTTAGGAAGCAAGCCGCTTGCCACTGCAGTTTTACGAGTTTTCACTCGTTTGCTGGTTGCCTTTAAGGCCAGAGGTTTAGCCCTCTTGATATTTGCAAACGTATTGTAGTTTCAGCAGATCGGCGTACTACATACGTGCCCTTTTTAAATAAAGGCCAGTCTTAGTGCTAGGCATTTGTATACTAATTCAAAGTTAGCTTTTAGTTAGAGTTTTAGTTAGTAGTTTTATATTCTTACGTTCAGACCACAAGTGGTTGGTCTCTGTATTCCGAAGTTCGGAACTGCCTGTAAAGTATTGAAAATAAAGGGTTTCGTATACCCTTCCTGCTTGTGTCGTCTGTTATACACAAATTTTGAACATAGCTTGAGTAAGCTCCCTGTTCTTATTCAGGGCATTCCAAGTTTCCAAAGCAAATCAAGAGAAACACAAGTCCTGACACCCTAAAGTGGCATTTAAATTACCATTATTCGATTGAGTGAATTAATTGCAATAACCATTCCCACTTTAGTGAATATTGCAAATAATACGGTAAAATAAACGAAGATATGAATATCTCTGGTTAAGAGCTCTGCGGCCAGGTAAGAACTTATCACACACCTTTTCTTTTCTGAATCTAAGAGAATGATTTCCAAGAGAATGATGAAGTAATGCGTCAATTATGACATTACTGACCAAGGTATCGGACGCTGCTCACAAATATTCTCGGAATAAAGATTAGATCAGACTAAACCATATTACAGTGTTAAAAGACACAAAGCACTGAAGAAAATGTAATAAAAATAATGATGGATAGATAGATTCCTTACTGCTGCATCGCTGCAGCCAATTACTCGGCCTGGCAGCTTGACTACTATGGTTTAATTTTATTATTATTAATTAATTCTCTGACTGTTTAATATTTTAGCTTCTTATTATTAATCAGTTCTCTGACTGTTTAATATTTTAGCTTCTTATTATTAATTAGTTCTCTGACTGTTTAAGATTTTTAGCTTCTTATTATGTAATCAGTTGCAACAGTTATAAGTGCATTTTAATATGATTAATTGTTTATTCTTTCCTTCCTGCAATTACCGTCTTTATATATATAGATATATGACAAAAAATTTTTAATTTTAAAATTGGTAGGGGAAATGGCTGCCAAACCATCGAGTCAAAAGTTATCTCGAGACTTAGACGGTAGGGGTAAGACCCTCCAATCCGTCTCCCGAGGTATTCTTCATTGAAACTGATACGAAGTTTACCGTTTCTCGCAGGTGTGATTCGGTGAAGACTTGTGGGGGGACCCTGGGTAACGTTTTCAATGATCAAATGGCTAAAAGACCGATGGCTTTTGGCCATTCCAGACGAATGCATAAAAATTGAAAATGTCCCACCTTTTCGAATTAATAGCAACAGTTTAAAATCCCTGAAAAATTTATATTATAGAATTCTCTCCATCTGTATTTTCTTTCGTTATGCTATTAGTTTAGAAAATGTTAACATGTCAGTTTTTAACTGATGGCCTCTTTGAACAGCTGCCGATTAAATTAAGTATTTCTGACTAATGTGCACGTCGCCTAGATACAGCAGCCTTATCTCACGGAATAATCTAGCCTTCCCCCCCCCAAAAAAAAAAAAAAAAAAACTCAACATTCCCATACAGACTGGCATCACTAATAGCCAATAATATAATCCGATTCCGAAAATATCAGAACCCCATTGTCATCCATATCCTATCCTCTTCCAGTAAAAACGTAATCTCTAGGCTGTAAAAATTGAAGTAACAAGGCTTGGAATTACCACATCCTGAAACGCAAAAATAAAGTATCTATATTTTGAAACGTAGTATGGTATCCGCATCTTGAAACGTAAAGTAAAATTATACTTAAACACATCTCCAACTCTAACTAATATATATTAGAAATACATTCACAAAATACAGATAGATATTATACATACAGATAGATGTCACACTGTAATCTTTGAAAAATACACAGCTACAAATTTATGCAGTTAAAATTGTTATTAAACTTGAATTGACTACAAAATGTCATACCATCTCCTCGCTTAAGCACAATCCTTGCTATAACCCACAGTTGCTGACTAAATGTAGACAACGCATGAGAGCGCAAAATGAAAGGACCTGTCTGTAAATTAAATTTATGAAAAGAATGAGAAATGCACAATGTGAAAAATAACTAATAACTATTGTTAAACCATAGAATAAATATATTCGCAATACTATATAGACTAGAAAATGTATAAAAATATAAACCTCAGTTAAAAAAGAAATTTAAAGTCATCTGATATTTTACTGCATTTTTTATTCTTACTTTTGGGTTTAATTTTTTTTGGTATGATACGAATTGTGTAATTTTTTTTACTTGAGCTTATTAACAATCAGGCACGCAGAGCTACCTTAAAGGTAGCAGGAGCTCTTGCGCAAGGTTGTATTTCAGCGCTTCCATAAAATATAATAATTTCAAAATTAAAAGGTAATTAATTTCAAGAAATTTCTATTTACTTAGCATAAGTTATGCCTATGTATACATAAAAATAAATCATGCCAAGAAATAAATTTTCGCAACTGTCTAAAAAAATTACAAAACATTTAGGCTTAGTTTTATGGTATGCCATTCATTGGACATTCACTCTTCTAGTTTTATCCGCTATAAAACTTTTAATCGGATATTTTTATACCTGAAGTATCCACGGTATCATTTTCTGTTAATATCCTTGACAAATCAGCAAAACGTTCTTTTGACACTAATTGAAATAATTTTTCATTAATTACAGCTTTGTAAAACTTTTTTCCTTGATTCATTCCTACGAAACATTAAATGAATATCCAGTCTCGCATTAATAATTCCTACATTAAATAAATATGCAGGAAAGAAAAATATTTGACATAAAAAATTCAAAGTTTTATAAATTTCGTCAATTAGTTATGGCAGAAAACATGGACTACCTGCATTTTATAAGCTTTAATAGCAGAGTTGACCAAACTTTGCATTAGGTGGAGACGCAGGATAGAATTAAGAAATATTCAAGAGCCGCAAGGTTTTCTAGTTGCCGAAACTATACTTTCATATCTTTTTAAAGGTAGCAAAATAGTTTTTGCATAGTAGAAAAGTTTGGAGAAAATTTCCAAGGATTTTCATGGTTTAATTACACTGTTTTTTAACTACCATTACTTATTATAAACAATTTTGTTGATTATACTTTCCACTCAGGAAAATATATTTCTGCGCTTTAACAATTTTAAATTTATTTTGCGATACAATGGGCATCCTCTTTTCATCTCCCCTCAGATAGAAAACAAAGTATTTTCTTTTGGTTTATGAATCCCCCGTCCCCCACCACTAATTACATATCAACTGATTTTAATACGAATAAAGTGAAAATGCAAGAAAAATAGAGGTTCTCACACTAATTTAGGAAGCTTTCCATTCAGTTTGCACCAATTAGTTATTTATAAGTTCAGCCTTCTGCTTTGCGCTTCCTCACCAGAAATGTAAATGACTTGAAAAGTATTTATATTGAGATTTTCAGATTGTAAGACAGACCGTGTTTCTGCCTCTCGAGGCCATATTACTTAGTTTTGCCAGATCTAATAAAATTGTAATTATTCGGCTTTGCGTTACAGCTTCAATTATTTAAATTAGTATGCCGCTGAGAAGTTCTCAGCCAACTTAGATTTAAATTAAACTGAGAAGTTCTTGACTACTAGGTTAAGCTTCACATCTTGAATTTGATTGTTACTTTAAGTTGTATCACCACAAGTGATGGTTGTTTTGTTAAACACAAGACGGCAAGATGCGCTCTTATGTTCAAGTTCCGTTTTAATAAAAAGGTTGTTTTAAACCTTTTCAAAGTTTTGTAGTTCATTTAGACACAACAATAGTTCACTTAAAGTATGTTAGGAGTTTGATACTAGTTTATGCTCCCAAAGAAAGTCGAACTCTATAAAATAAAGGATGATAAGAAGTTTGAAGTAATATGATATCGATTTTTATTTGATTAGAATAAGAAAAGACAGAATGAACAGAGCTTCGGAGAAATTGCAATGTAAGATGCGAATATTATTCTTAAATAAACTGTCAGCTTATCTTTCAGCACAGTGTTGCTTAAATGTAATAACTCAGATTTTCTTCACCACAATGTGAATAGATAGGGATATCAAACTTAGACTTGAATCGTTACGTAATTTGTTTGATTAGGGGATTCATCTCGTTTTCCTATAATGAAGTTACACAATTATACACTTTCCTCCTGCTCTTCGCTAAGTTTTGAGATCAGCGGAGCATGTTTCCAATTAATTTTTCCCCCTACAGTTTCGATAACTCAATTTCTACCTCAAGACAGCCAGTCTGTTCTTAAACCAGCATCACAACATTAAGAAATCACAGAATCGGAATTATTTGCCTTTTATTTCGTATTTTGCCGATCAGCACATGACAGACAGTTCGTTGTGTAAAATTACTTTTGCCTGTAATATAATTTCAAAAGTAAAACTTCTGATTGTTGAAATTCGCGATTTCTGTTTCAGATTATTTCTCAAAAATAAAACTACTGTTTATTACATAAAGCGCTGCACCCTAGGAACCGTGGTTTATTCAAGCCTTTTATATAAAGTAGTTAATATCTAGCAATATATTCAAAATTTTTAAAATACATATAACTATACACAATACTAAAATTATAAAAGAATATTAAATATTAAATAGAATAATTCACAGTTACATACAATGAAAGAACATTTTTATTTCTCTCACTCTTTGCATATTTTATATTCATTTTCATCAAAGGCTCTTAGTAATGATGTATACAATTCCCTTTTCATACGTAAATAAATGTATTGACAATAAAGAAATTTACATGCATTAAACTAAAAATATATTTCTAACATCATACTAAAAAATCTAGTTTAGAAGGAGTTAAAATATTTTCCTTCGTTTTCCTTCATTATCGCGCAGCGATAGAGCGGATTAAGCCCAAAGGAGCGTTTTTGTTTCATTTACATGCACATACACGTTAGAACAGCATTTGGACTAAAAATATTTAAAAACAGCCTATTTTCGAATTTTCGATAGACAATTCCATTATCTGGAGATATATTTTTTTATGTTGTTGCCATTGCTCGCTTTGAAATCGTTTATTTTGTTAATAAAAAATTCGCTAAAGTTTCACAAAATTTGAAATACACGATAAAATATTTAAAAACGGCATAACTTTAAAATTTCCGATTGAAAAGTCTTGCGCGCTGGAGATAAAAATGTTTTCTCTCGTACAGTGTTGCCTTTGCTCGCTTTGAAGTCATTGAGTTTATTAATCCAAAATTCATTAAGTCTTACAAAATATAAAATACACAATAAAACAAATTCGAAATTCAAAATTCGGGCTTTTAGGTGCCTATGTTCGAGTGGAGAATTATATTATTAAAAATTTGATGGCTCTAGGTACCGTTGTTTTTTCCCAATGCAAAAACAGCATATATTCATGCACATTTTTTATTATTTAATTTCTTTAAATATAATACAGGGCGATAATATTTGGTGGCAACAATTTGAAAAATGGTACAGACTTTTATAGCGATTTAACACAAAATCCTGTTTTGAGACTAATAGCTCTTCTAGAGTAACGCTCTTTTGGCCTAAGAAAACAGCTTAAAAAATACTGCTATATGCGCTCTCAGATTCTCTCAGACATATAAAGATAAAAAAGGCTAGTGCATTTCCTTTGACTCACCCCTCCCTCCATTCTGTTCCTATGTGATATGAGAGTTTGAAGGCAGTGCTCTAAAAATCCTTATTCCACTTTTTTAAAACAGAAATTTCAATTTTTTATGAAGTTTCCCAATGGTTTTGAGAATATTTAAAATTATTTTTGCAATTCATTTTCAAAACTGCGAAGCGTTATATTGGTTACATGAAATTGCAACTAACAGCCAATGCACTTCTTTTATTTTTTTTTTACTGTTCAATAATCCGCTAGGGAAAAATCTAATAATTACTTTGCCAAGGGTGAGATTTCGCAATATCATCTCTTTCTCATACTCTCTGTTGGAAACGATGCTGGACTAACAAAGCAGCATCGGGTGAAACCTTTTACGCTGTACAGTCCTTTTCCTCTTTCCGTCTTTATGCTCTAACTTTATGGACATTAAAGTATGGACATAAAAGTATGTACAATCTTTAAAACTAGTCAATAAACGCATTCAAGTCCTTTTTGCTAAGCTCACAAACGGCCGAGATGTAAGATTTCTGAATATGGGTAATTCGGTCCGGGTTCAAGTCGCAGCGAATAGGCTTGCTGCATGGGTCCTTTCGGATTTTCTCCCTGTGTAATCTAAATATCAGCCAATTTCCTTTTAAAGATTCCTCCACGAAAACATAACTCTTTATAGATATACAGCCTTCGCGTACTGCGCCATTATCTAATCTGCTCTAAGCATTTTGTTAAAAGGAATGAAATAGAATCATATTATATTTGCAACTGTAGCACAAACATCTTAACGCTTTGATATGTTACCAGTTACAGAAATAAACCGACTAAAGATATTCCATGTTGCTCTTTTTCTCTCCTCCCGCCCTTTTAATGGTTCAGACAAGTCATTCCGGCGTAGCACTGAATAAAGGCATAATCATGTCCAGGCATAAGAAACCTCAAGCATTCTTTAACATAATACTGACACCAGGAAAACACGATATGTAAATTAATGTTTTGAAGCATTTAGCGCCTTATGGAAACTATGAAACCCGTCCGTTAATTGGACGCTGATCGCGCAATCTGTGTGAAAGTTTTTCTTCCTAATCAACAATCTCAAATAAAAATTTATTATTACATACTTCCTTAAAATGGCGCCCTTTCAGATCGGGCGGCCTTGTGCAAGGCAGAACCCGAAGACCCGCACGGTGCGGCCCTGCTAAGCAATCTGATATTAAGTTGACTGAGAATTACAGTTGTTTAATGTGTTCACATTTGACCGCAGCTGCTTTGATAACATTATGCTATGATACAATAAAAATGTATCGAGAGCAGCGTACCCTAACAAAAATAAGTCAAAGGCCTTAGTAAAGGTTAATATTTATTAACGATGAAAATTTAATTTGTATTGTTATGGGCATCTGCAAAATTTAGTTTTCCACTGCACAAGTATACTCAAGATATTCCTTCAAAATTATCATTCATATTTTACTTGTATATTTACTTACCTGGATGCTTTATACAGTGAAAAAGGGTGTACGCAAATATACGTGCTTTTATAAACAAACCTCATCAATAAGGATTATCGTTAAACGCTAAACAGTTTTATTGCATTTTTTAATAGTAATTCTTTTTCTCCTCTCCCTTTTTCCAAAGTTTACAAAGACATTTGATATTAGCTGATGATCGAGCAGCTGGGTTAATAGTTGAAAATAAAATGCAGCTGGATTTTCCCCAAATCTATTATAAAAGCTTTCTGATGAAATCAAATCTATCAAAGCTGCTTATTTTTAGCTCTTTATATGTGCCTTTTTCCAAACAGACTTCTTGAGCGAATTAAATTGTTGTCCTTGATGAGAGATTGACAAACTTCTGTCTAATTGCAAGTGCTATCATTCTTTCGTGAAATCTCTCATTTCTTATTTTGGCTTCAAAGACACGTATTCAGCTCATTAAAATTAAGAGCTCTGCTTAATACGAGTAATCTAATTAGTTCTCATTCTCAAATTCGATGCCGCATGAAATTCCGCTTTTATTCATCATTTTGTAGAGACATTAGGTAATTTGGAAGCAGGCAAGATGAAAAATGAGCAATCGCCTTCGCCGGGAATCGAACCACGGACCTCTGGAATACCGGCCCTGCATGCAGAACCACTACACCACTAAGGGACGCTAGGAAGGCGGGAGAAATACCTTGTAATTTGATTATACAATGCGGGTCGTATCAACGAGCTGTGAGAGTAGCACAGTAGCACGCAGCCCATGAGTTAGACACGCTTGCATCAACAGAATGACAGCATTAAAACAGTAAGGTCCTAAAAAATGGGAACAAAATTTTACTAATTTAGAGGAAATATGTTAAAAAAATGTAATGCAATTATTAATATGATATGAATTAGAAGTAAAATGAGCTTATAGAACGCAGTTATTTCTCAAAATTTTGCTTATAAATCATTAATTTTCCTAGTGTTTCTAGAAATTTTTGACCGAATTGGTGGGAATTTTTTTTTTTTTTTTTCCTTTTATAAATTTCCAATGGCTAGGCAAAAAGTTACAAAGAACTAAAATCTTATAAACAGAGGTTACAAACAAGAGAACTAAGAACAAAAAGACCAAAGTCATTGCTTAAGGAGCGTTTTTGCCTCCCAGTACCTCAACTCCTCTGTAAGATCAGGAAGAGCCCCAAATCGAAGCAGTTGATCATGTCCATTTCTTCTCCAGAATCACAAAGTGGGCAAATAGTATCGCTTGAAATGCCTAAGAAGTGCAGGTAGGCGGCAATCATGTCCTGTAAACAGACAGAAAGCCGCAACTGCATTGCAGTTAAAAATATAGAAAGCCTTTTCAGCACTTATAAAGAATTCTTTGTCAATTTATCTCCATTATTCAGGTCATTTATTATTTTACCTCGTTCTCTTCATATAGGTTTATTATTATTATTATTATTATTTCCCGAAGGTTTCTTATGTGTTTGCTTGGATGTGTCTCAGTCTGATTAAACGACTGGTAGTTGCCTGCAACTACCAGTCGTCATTCATGCTGCTGCTGAAACACATTTTCTGCTTCATATAGATTTACAATCTTCTTCAAGAGTTTTTCATATGTGATGTATGGATATTTTTAAGCAAGCAAATAGAAGATGTATTCTTCGGTTATCAATGCTGATACTGAAACTCTTTTATCAATTATACATTTAAGATTTAAATCTTACATTCCTCACACGTCACCTTAGTTGAAGACATTGCCTTTTATTCTTCATTTTCATCGAGCATCATCGTATCAATCGACAGACTGGCATGTTTTAGTTTTAGTTTAGCGTTTTTTACGATCTTCTCAAAGATCTAGTCCCGACGGATACAGCAGAAGCACCACGTAAAGAAGGTTTCCTTGACCATTAGCACGTGTATTCATTCATACCTTTCATGACAGCACTCATCTCATAAACATAATAACCATTCATCACGTTTACTATTTCTAAATCAAAGTATTTATTTGTGGATGTAGTGTTTGCTGGAAGGAACATAAGTAAGCTTTAGGAATTTATTTAGGATAAAATTTATTTAGGATTTATTTAGGATAATTTATTTAGGATAAAACTCCTACATATATTATACATTTTAAAAATTTCTGATAAAATTTCTACAAAAAATTAAGGATTAAATTCCACTTTTTCATAATTATACTGAAATCATCAATTGTATAATATAAGTATATCATAAATGTTTTAAAATCTTTCCCAATAAGAAACAGAATTCCTTCAATTATGTCTGAAAGAAAAAGACTTATACGTTAAAAATTTAATGTAGAATAAAAAATTAATATTATGACAATTAGCATATTTTGCAGCATTTGATTTACTTGGCAATAAAAATATGAGGACGTCAAGGGAAAATATGTTTTAGCATTTAACAAGTATTAAATGTATTGTGTGTTTCATTGTATTGTGTGTGACTGACAATCAGAAAAATATTCTTTAATTCCATTTTAAAATTCATTAACTTAAATTCCTGATCTTTCGAGAATCATTCATACTATTGACCCCAAAAAGTAGTTTAACTTTTAAAATTAGAAGTGTCGGAGCCCTATGAAGATCGTCAGAAAGGGTAAAAATGCGTCGCATTTGGGACTCCGGCTAGAATAAAAATTTTATTAAAAACTGAGAAGTAACTGAGAAGCTGGCTTCGAAGTGCTTCACCTACATTTAAAACTGGATTCAAATTTAAACAGAACGACTTTATCTTTCGGATTATTACACTTTTATGCATTCCCATAAATGAGAAAGAGTAAATTTAAGCACATGACTGATTGACATGAAAGAATTTAAGTGAGATCAGTCAGAATACATTAAATGACTTGATTATTAATAAAGGTCGAACTTTCAATGTGTATTATGCAGACAAGAAATATAACTTTAAATAAAATCACAGAAATATGACATTAAACAAAATCACACTAATGAGCATTGCCATATTTTTAAAGAACTGGGGTGTGCCTTAATACTTCTTATATGCTCATTATCAAGCTCCACAAAGGTATTATATTTGAAAATGCTAGAAATTAATACTGATGTCACATGAAAAATTCAAGATTCAACTCTTTGAAGGAAAACGGGCCGAAATTACAAAATCTAACGTTTTTTGAAACTATTTTTATTTGCTATTCACAAAGCTCATTTATATTTTGACTGAAAAGAAATGAGAGACAACTCACCTGTAAAAAATTAATAATATGGTTTCTTTACTTATTTACACAAAGTTTAATAATTTTTTAACTGATTTCTAGACTTTCTGAAAATCACAATAAGCTGGCATAAGTTGTAATAATGAGATCCTGTTATAATCATTGTTAATATATCTAATAGGTATTTTTTGATTAATTCCATCATACTGGCTACTTTTTCTTTTCCTTTTCTTTTCTTTCTTCTTTTTTTTTTTTTTTTTTTTTTTTTAAAGCTGATGCATTTTACAACACTAACCATGAAAAGAACCCATATTATAAAACTTTAAACAAACAAACAAACAAAAAAAAAAAAAAAAAAAGCAATGCAAAATAAAATATGAGCTTTAAAAATATATAGCATATTTAGGATAAAACTCCTACATATATTACATTTTAAAAATTTCTGATAAAATTTCTACAAAAAATTAAGGATTAAAATTCCCTTTTTCATAATTTATACTGAAATCATCAATTGTATAATATAAGTATATCATAAATGTTTTAAAATCTTTCCCAATAAGAAACAGAATTCCTTCAATTATGTCTGAAAGAAAAAGACTTATACGTTAAAAATTTAATGTAGAATAAAAAATTAATATTATGACAATTAGCATATTTTGCAGCATTTGATTTACTTGGCAATAAAAATATGAGGACGTCAAGGGAAAATATGTTTTAGCATTTAACAAGTATTAAATTAAAGTTTGAATTAGAATAGTTATCAAACAATAGACAAATTAAGAGAAACTGGCAACAAAGTACTGCATTATTAAGAATGAATCATACTAACTTAATAATATTAATACTTTTCAAGCTATGATTTAATAATGCTATTAGATATTAATTTAATTTAAATCTGAGATAGATCTTTATATATTATTTATATTGGCAACATCATAAATTAATTCATTTAAATGTTATTATTCAAAACCTATATGTTAATATTATAAGTACTTACAGCCATTTGAGAGTTGTTAAGCTTCGGTGTAAGGTTAGTAGCATTTATAGTAACAGTATGTGTAATTGGAGGTCCAGCTAGTCCAATAAATAAAAACAAGCCAAAGCTTGCAAAAAATGCAGAAAAAACCAGAACAAACTCACGTTTGTGCATAGTATATAATCTCATCTGGACAGACCTTAAAACAAATAAAATAACTTAATGTATAAGAAAAACCTGACAGAAACAGCATATATAAATATATATAAATATATATGGGCACAAATATTATATAAATAATGCTTATAAACTTTCATGCAAAAATAAATATTTTAACATCTATTAATTTTTGTAAGGGAAAAAATTATGGTAAATTTATCTAGATTTTCAACCCATAAAATGACAGCTAATGTGCATTTGCAAAAATCGCAAAATAAAAATATATATACATATAAACATTTCATTGTATAACATAACTCTTTAAATATATAATTGTTATGCCTTGCTTGAACTGCTAGTTATTTATAACAAAATACTTTTTGAAATAGCTCTCTGAAATATCTGCCAAAATCTCTAATTTAAAACAACGAAAGTTGATTTTTGCAAAAAAAAATACTATTATGATCATTAATCATTTGATATTATTAAATTTGAACTTTGGGTGGCATTTTTATTATATTAATGAAAAAATCCACTATCTTCATTAATTTCAGTAACACATATGAGGACAGATGTCTTCTTTTTATTTTGTAATTTTTATTATATGCCACATTCTGTTATAAACATAATTACCAATTAATGTTGACACATAAGTTTAGCATGCATTCATTAATTGGCAAGCAAATGAACCTCATATGATTTGTCTCATGTTTTAAAAAAAACATCATCTGGCAGTATCTTTCAGATATGTGAAATAAACTTAAAACATTTATTACCTGCAGCACATTAATTCTTGACTTACTAGCTCTTTACACAAGAAATAGCATGATAGTATTGAAAAGAAGACAAACCTTTCATAAATAATTTAATATAAAAGTAAACAATTTCCTTATAAACTTTTTTTTAATATCACAGTAAGTTTCTAATATCCTGCTTTTACATTTTAAGCATTTACACATACTCTCTTATATGCAATGCAACAAAATTTTAATTATGTGATTAGCTATACAAAAAGCAAAATATCATGGCAAATGTAATTACTCAGATGTTAACTTTTACTTCAGTAATAAAACCCAGTGATTAAAATTTAGTTGCATCTCTTAACAAATTTTCTTTGTGGAACAAATGAATTTGATTTGATTTCATATGTAAGGAAAGGGATAAATTTGTTTTTGATAATTTATACATAAAGGAGCAATATTAAAGGGAAAAAATTAAAGGATTTAGTTTTTAACAGTTAGTCATTCATTTTAATTTTTAATGGCAACAATTCTGATACATGTAAGCTTTTTTCAAGCCCATTTTTTGAATACACCTCCTAAAAAATAAACTTTTGACATTACTATTATTATATCATAATTAATCAAAATAAAATTCAGAGCAATTCAGAGCTATCAAAACAAAAATTGTGGAATAACATTTTTGTACTATTCCAAAATTTTTAAAAAGAAGAAAACTGCAAAATCAACAATTAATAAAGTGTTCTACAAAATAAGAGCATAAATTTTTATGTAATAATCTATTTTGTATATACCATGGGTTTAATATAATAAGTGTATTTTATTACATAACGTATGTATTTAAAAACCATTGCTTTATTATTAAATGAAATTATGAAAATACTTTTATTATTTTATTAGCTGAAAAATGCTTTTATTGCGCACTTAAAAATGCGACACTATTTATGCATACTGCGCCTTGTTTAAATATATACTGACGTTTATAAATATGAATTACATTCTAACCTCATTAGAAATTTGCAATAAGAGATAATGTTAAATCACAGTTTTGAAAATTATTTTTAAAAAACGGGTACCTTTCACAACGATCATGGTAATAAGTAGGGGCAATGTTTTTTCCGAATTCGCTAAATATATCGCCGAACTGAGAAAATGCCGATCTCATTTTTAACCTCCAAGTTCTAGCAGGAAACATTGGATTAAATCCGTTAAAATCAGACGGCATTATTTCCGAGCTATAAAGCGATAGACAGAATTAATGATTTCTCTTTTCAAAACAAACATACGGAAAATTTCATCTTTTACACATCGCACTTTTCAAAAATCGATTTATGGTTGCTAGGCAACGAAGAGCATAATGCCACTTACTTTAAGATAATACTACGGTATAATTTATGGACTAAGATAATAATTCGGTGAAATGTTTTATCGAAAAATATTTGAATAACAAACTAAAATAAGATTTTAGAAGGGTTGGTTCTGCTAGAACTAATTTTTGCAGTGTATATATAAAGCAAAAATAAGCACTCTAATAAAATATTAAAAATCCATATCCCTAACTAATAATTTTTTATGTATAAAGAAATTAGATCGAAAAATAAAAAAAGTAAAAATCTTTCTAAAAATTTTTTTTTTTGAAAAAGACACACTTTTTAAGAAATGAAGTAGCTACCGGAAATATATTTCCAACATTTATATCTGGCAGAGTGTATCGTTTCTTTTTAAATGTTTTCTTCGTTTGTGTATTTGTACGCTTTGAGGGGAGCGAAAGCGAAGAAATGTGTTTTCGATTTATGTCTGTGGAGTGTGTAGGTTAAAAAGCAACGAAACAGAACAAAAATTATTAAACTTTTTTTATCATGGCTCCCAAAGCTCGTTTCTCTGATGGTATGTAAATATACCAAAACACTGTGATAAATAATCTTTCGAATGTTGTTGTATGTTTACAATTTGAGTGACGATGAAAACATGTAAATTAATTTTCATTGCCTTTCAAAATGTTTTTATCTTAGATTACGGAATAGAAAGTACTGAAAGCTATTTGTAGTATTCTCTAAAATTTAAGCTGAAGTATAGATTAATAAAATGAGTTATTAAAAGCTGCGACTATAATTTTTTACGAAATTTCAAAGCTAAGACAGAAGTTAAAATAGCTTTAACAAATAATTAATAGAAATTTAATTTAAATATAACCTGGAGTTCTTGTTAAGTGCTGAACTAATATGTGAATTCTTTAAAAGAGTTATTTTCATAGGAACAAATTTCCAAGGAGAAAATCATTCAATGAAAGTAAATTAAATTTAGTGATACGGGGGTTCGCCTTTTATAAATATTATAAAATTGGTGCATGGATGTATGTTAAAGTTTTATGGTAAATTAATAATTGATGTTGCTATTTAATTTGAAATATAGCCATATACCATTAAAACAAAACTTCCACCAATTAGTATAGTAACACCAGAGCAAGTACTCATCAGAAAAAATGTTAATTTTTTGGTGATAATGAATAATTAATAAGAGTTTGTGAGGATTTATTTATTTTGACTAATAGTTAATTTTTACTTAAAGTAATTTTCTTGTCGCTCTCCTTTTCACTCATGCTTTCCTGTCAGAATGTAAATCAGTTAGAGTGCTTGTATTCAAATTAAGGGAGAAAGAGTTGCTGTTTAAGTAAATGTTTTGAAAGCAGATTTTAGAGCATGTTACATGTTTTGCCTGCATGAAGGTCACTTTGATGTTGCCTGCATGAAGGCCGCTTTGATTCTGTGGTGTTGAGTGCTACCAGCCATTAGGCTTGTTCCATCAGCTTTTGCAAGTCAGAGCCTTCTATGTGATTAACTTATCCTAGGAGCTGTTAGGCTAGTTTAATTACATTTTAAGTTCAACATTACTTGTTTAATAAGTGAGGTGCCAGAAGTGTTGGCTTATGTAAACACAAGTGGGGTCGTCTGTGCACTCTTTTGTGATTGAATAAAGGGTCATCTTCTTCTAACTTTGTCTGCTGTCAAAAACCTGAGGATAATACCTTTACAGTATTTCTAGAGATGGCTAATTTATGTTTCCAAAGAATACAAGACACTATAAGTTGTATTGGTATGTTAGTCATAAAATTTTTTGATAAATTTTCAGTACATTACATAAACAGAAGGGATTATAATGTTTAATAATTAATCATAGAATTAAACTGAAATAGATAAAACACAATGGAATCAAATAAAGCACGGTAGAAAAATTATAATATATAAAGAGACAATATTTAATATAGAAAATATTGTGTCAAATTTTACCAACGGTACTCTGCTACTAATACTATTTCTGACCTGTAAAACCTAATAAGATGACAGAAATAATTGTAATTCCAAAAATTCACATTAAGAATTACTGATAATTATCACGTGTGTTTATTATTTATTTTTATTAGCCCAGAAGGACTATTAATTTCATTTTGGCATCTTGTGTTGATTTACTACAAGCATTTTTTCACTTTTAAAATGTTTGCCACCAGATATTATCGCGGTTAATCTTTGAATTATGGTAACTTGGTGATTTTTTGGTGAAAATTTGGTGACCAACCCTGCTACAGCAATCTGCTAGCTTTTATTTGGATGTCATTTTGTTTTCACGAAATAAGGGCATGTTTTTTTTTTTTACCCAACATATTTTATGCTAGAACTTTTATGGAACAAAAGTGCTTAATCATGACGAAGATTAGGTGCGAAATTGGGAGAAAGTGCAGAATCGCAAACTGCTTGTCGTGTTTTTAAGAATTGCACATACACGGTAACTATGTACACGTCGACCTATTTTCACTTTAAAAAAATCCCAGAATTGCACAACAATGGCATTGCGCACACTCTTGACTTTATCCATGTACACTACTAAAGTCCTAGCTAGTAACCTTTATCGCCTTACCAAAATGTCGCCAAACTACCTGTTACCATATTCCAAAGATTAGCCATTATGGCTGTGTAATATATGTGTATTATATTTAAAGAAATTGAATAATGAAACATAAATGTATATATGTTTCGTGCATTGTGATAAAACAACAGTACCTAGAGCCATCGAATTTTGAATAATGTAATCTACTTGCGAATATGAGCATCTGGAAGCCCCAATTTGGAATTTGTTTTATTATCGATTTCATATTTTGTAAAACTTTAGCAAATTTTTTATTAACAAACTCGAGGATTTCAAAGCAAGCAATGGCAATGTTGTACGAAAAAAATTTTTTTATCTCCAGTGCACGAGACTGTGTATCGGAAATTCTAAAGATGTGCTCATTTAAAAATTATTTTGCGATATTGCTTTTGAACTGAATTTTATGGTTTAAGTGCAAAGAACATGATATTTAATAAATAAAAGTAACACACAAAACGTTAAAAAATTGCTCCTTTGGACATAATTTAAAATCTGAAACCTTTCAGTTTTTTGTTCCCCCCCCCCATTGTACAATAATGTAAAGGTAGGATCCCTGTTTCAATAAATCTAGGCATGAATGAATTCAAGGATTTGAAACATTTTTTGTAAAGCTTTTTAGAATTTTGGAAACAGTTGTAAAAGCATAAAATTTAAAAAAATTATCTATTTTCTTTTCTTCTTATTTTGCTAATTTCTGCGGCTACCTTTTCTGCTACTTATTCTGTCCCTCTGTCCTTAAATTGCCTAATGCTGAAGTTTCTATTTTGTTTATTCATCTGCGTTAGTAAGAAAAGGAAACTTAATCAAACATTCTTACAGAAGTTGATTCCATTAAAGAAATTATCTTGATTTTGTGAAAATGCTTGGATTTTCACTATTTACAGTTTAAATCTTGAAAGTAAAGAATATCAAATTTTTAAAACTTTGATATTCAAGTTCAAACTTTGATATTAAAATGAAAAATATTTTTAAAATCTTTTTATTATGAGCTCAAAAATAAACTACTAACTTAATTTCAAATGAACTCTTTTGGCCCTTTAATTTCCCCAGCAAAGTAAATTGTCAATTATTATTTCATGTTCATGTATGCTAGCAAAAACAATTCTTGGACATATTGCCTTCATCACTAGAAGTGTAGTTGCGTTGAAAATCATAAAAGTAGGGTTTCATTTTATTAATTTTATGCACTAAAAACAGATTTTATTTATTTTTTCGTTTTCTAACATTTATTTTTTTTTAATTTTGAGACATTTTGAATTAGTAGTATGTACTACAATAAAAGCTATGGTCACCGTCTGGCATTCAACTAACAGGAAAGCTCAAGTAACTGGAATATTTTATAATGTTAGACTTTTTTTAATACTAAAATATATGCAAATCAATGCCTAATTAAGGTATCGTAAAGCAGGTATATGATTATTATTTGGAATCCCACTTATGATATCTAAAATGTAATTGCATTTACATGGTTCTCTTTCAGAAGATGTTGCCTTCCCCTAATTATTCTATTCATCATATTACTTATTATTCCAAAAATTCATTCTTGGAACTAGACATTCTTCATAGACATATTTTCCTATCGAATCACATTTTTTTTGGGGGGGGGAGAATGGGTCCAGATAGTATGATTTAGTGCTAGTAATGGATAAGCATTATATCACAAACAATCATTAAAATCTCTTCTCTGTTTTTATGTAAAATTCAATTAATTTTTGATAAGCTATTTTAATTTTTGCAAAGAAGGCTATAAATTAACTGCTACGTATGTCTTGCAATTATAAAAAGTGATTAAAATTAAATGTCTGCTTCCTAAGGAACAGCATGCAGTGGAGTATTTTCAAAGGTATAGGATTAAGAAAAGTTGCACTAATGGTCAGGATGTGTGATTTTTTTTAAAAATGGATACACAGTAGCAATGCAGTGCAAAAATTATGATAAATGATTAATTTTTTATATGTTATATCTATAATTTGTGTCTGTGAATTATGTATTTGAATTCAGAGTGGTCTGTTTCTTCAAACTTCTGCTAGTATGTTTAGTGCAAGTTTGCTGAGATGTCTGTTAACTTTCATGGTCATTAGGAGTTTTATAATTGCTTAAGACGTTTTGCATTTACATGTTTGAGATGTAAAAAAATATGTTGGCTTTATGTCTGAAAAGCACTTCCTGAAATCTTACGTTAATTTAAATGTAGGCTTTTGATAATAAATAGAATGTATGTTTCTGCAATTTAAATAAGTTTCTTCTTTCATTGATTTCCCTTTTCTACCATGAATTGCATTGGTATGCATTCAAATGCCGTAATTTTTATGTATTTGGCGTATCCCAAGCTTAAGATAGAAACAAATACTGAGAAAAATATTTTTGAATTTAAAAAAATTTCTGAGCATGATGTAAGATGTTGGAGTAATCACACCTACATTGGATTACTTTTAATTACAGGTAAGGAATATGGGCCATTAGAGACAAATCTTTTTTTTCTTTTTGTCCAGTCATTCTTGAAAGAATGAATGAGTTTCATATTGATCAGTAAGTTTCATTTCTTACCCCTCTGTTGCAGTTTTACATGTATTTGTTTATGTGATATTTTTAATTTTTAGGTGAAAAAGTTCTTTGTTTTCATGGTCCTCTACTGTATGAAGCAAAAGTAAGTAATCTTGCAGTTTACTTGACGTATTTTTAAAAGCCTTTTTTTCTTTTGCTTGTGCAAAACTATAATTTCCATTATTGTTTTTTCTCTTATTCTTCTTCTTCACTATTATTTATTCTTTGTTTCTCTTTTTTTTAAAAAAATTTAGTGCTTAAAGTCGCAGATCAAAGATAAACATATGAAGTATTTCATACATTACAGTGGATGGAATAAGAAGTATGTATATGAAATGATATTTTCAATTATATTAGTGTATTTTATTGCTTTTAATTTGAGTGCAGAAATGAAATAAATTTAATTTGTTTCAAGGATAACCTAAAGGAAATTCAAAAACTCACTTAAGTTTTGCAGCTGTCTTAGGCACATTTAAATTTACCCCTTATTGTATGTGGGATGTTCTATGTTAACATTAGTATAAGCTTTCGAGAAGTCTTAGTGAATCCTGGAAGGGTATCTGAAGTGTGTTTCATTTTTAAAGCATAACAAACCAGCCCCGTGGCTAGTCAAGGCATCTGAAAATATGGGTCATGAGAACTGTATTGCCTGGGGGGGGGAAAGGAAATGGAGATAATGGCATCAGAAAAGGGGGGATGAAAATATTGGTAGTAGAAAATATGAAAGAAAAAAGAGATAAAGAAAGAAGAAAAGGACTCTGAATCTTGCCAAATAATGTTGCCAACTCGAGATAAAAACACCAGCCAAATTATCATTGAGCTAGCAGAGCTATAACAAGCTTTCTTGAGAAAGATGCTAATGATAAGACACTGAGCCCGCTGTTGCTAATAAAAGCCATTTGGAAAGGAGATTTTTCCAAAAGGGCTTTGAGCAAGTCTTATATCCTTCCCTTCTTTGTTATCAAGGTTCATATGCTCCTTAAAAGTCATTAGATTTTTTGAAAGTGATTTTTGGTCTTTTGTAAATGCTTTTTCCATGTATTCCACTGCCGTTTAAAATTTTTTTTGAATAGTTTATTATTCAAGAGAAGAGAGGGCTTTTGCCAAACATTTTCTTTTGCTCAGTTTCACACTGTTTTTGTCCATCCATCCTTTCTTGTGAACATGAATGAAAACAGCATTTGGAAAATTATATTTTGGCATCATCTTTCTTTTAAAAATAACCATGGATTTTAATCTTGTAGCATTTGCTAAGCAGAAAAGCATTGCGGTTAGATGAGGTATTTTGTGACGTGTTGTTTTTTTGTGAATCGTGTTTGTTCCTTTTTCGTGAATAAATTTATTTCTTATCATATCAAACATTACTGGAGTTTCATCCATGTTTCCAGTGTGTCCCAGTAAATAATTTTTGGCCTTCTTAGGCCAATAACACAACTTCTGGAAGCTTATCAATTTGTTAGAAAATAATATTTTCAAGATTTAATTCTAAAATTTGTCTTAGATCATTAGAAGTGTCTGGAGGCACAATTTCAAAAATGCTTTCCTTCAGTACTTTATGTTGGAAAGAAAAATTTATCTCATAAACCACATTCAATTTTAATCATCAATGTTGGTCTTTAATGTTTAATGGTAAATTAAACACTCAAGAATTTTCCACGTTATCGAGCAACACAGGACTGAAACTTTGACAAAAAAAAAAAAAAAAAAAAGTTAAGTGAATTTGGGATGGAGAGGTTAGGGCAAGATTTCCAACACTTTCTGAAATGTTCTAAGTAAACTTTTAATTTTTTTTAAAGGATACATATGTGAAGCAGCATTTTCAGCATTTATGTGAACAAAATCAAAAAATCAGTCACAAAGATTTGCCTCTTTAATATCTGGTAAATTTATATTTCTAATGCATGTTAAAGAATTGTTTTTGACTAAATTTTCTGTTAGATTTATTATCAAAAAATATTTTAATTGATATATCTCTTTATCTAGAGCTCTTGCTAGGATTTTTAGCGCATGGGGGCAACTGAAGATTTTGCATCCCCTCCTATTTGCCAAGAATGGAAAATATTTAATTCTAAAATTTCATATCAGCAATTTACTGCTGGATGCTGCTTCCTGGGTCAGATCAGCACCCTAATGCTATGATTGTTTATATCCAGGGTCACGAAAGTGTTAGGTTGGGTAAGAGATAGACGAAAAAAGTAGAAAAGTTTGTAAAGCACTAACTTCAGCTGTAGCTAATCATGGAAGTGTGGTATGGTATATTCGATTCTGATACTTCTAACTACATATTTTTGTTATGGATCTTAAAATTCTGCTATTTAATGTCAGCTTTTGTCTGTAGTCAGCAGAATGTGCTTCTATGACTGTAAAATAGTTAAACTTTTATATTTTTGTATAACTTTTATATTTTTGTCTTTTATATTTTATACAAAAATATAAAAGTTTTAAAAGTTTTCCAGTTAAATTTCAAAATTTTTCTTTTAAAAGCAGAATAATAATTTTATACCAGCATGAATTCCCTTAGATCTCAGAAATGCTGAGTAAAAAATGACACATTGTTATAATTGGTCAATTTCTCAAATTATTCCCATGCTTGTAAAGTAAAGTTAAATCTTTCAACTCCTATGTACAGAAGGCTCCTTAAGGCTAAAACCATAAATTATCAGTAATTCATCCTGAATTCATTTCTGAATAGAGGAATCTACTGGTTAAATGATGTTTTTAAAGTTTTTTTAATGAGTAATATAAATACAAATCTCTGTCTATTGAAAAGTCACTCATTTTAAAGCTGTTCATTGCTTTGCCATAATAGGTAAGCCCAATCCTTTATAATGACTCAAATAATCTTCAGATTTCCTTAAAAGACCTTAGTTTTTCTTTTTTTAATGCTTAATTAATTTTAATCACCGGACACTTCTGTCTGTTTTTCATAGTGGCACTTTTTGTTTAAATTAACATTTTGGAGAATATTTTTTGACTGTTCATTGATAAATATGCATTCGAGAGGTTATCATGTGAAATTTGTTCCTACTTGTAATATAAACAGTATGATATAGTTTAAACATTTCAAAATTGTTTCTTTTTTTCTAAAGGAAGGGTTCATAAAGTGTTATATGAAAAGTAACTATTCTCATTTTGGGACAGGAATTCTTTTGTTAAACGGTGCTAAATTTGGCGACTTATCAACATTTGTACAATTTTAAGGTAAATTTGTTTTTAACTCAGAGATTAGTGAATTTTTTTACAATATTTTTTATAAACATAACAACATTGATAGATATCTTTAAAATAATGATAATATATTGAGACTATACCTAAGAAACAACATTGAAATATAACATTTTTATTTTTCCATGCCATATTGTAAAGTGACAATATTTTTAATTTGAAAAATAAACTAATAAATGCTATAAAGTACATTTTCGAAAACATTTCTTAACAAAAGCAAAATAATTATTATAATTACTTTGAAATTAATGTAATTTTTCTTTTTTATATTTTTTTCATTTTAAGAGTTTTTTTTCAAGATGTCTCAGAATATTCAAAGGTATATCAGTTTTCTTTGTAAAATCCACTTTACGCTTTTCTTTTCTAATTTTTTTTTTTTTTTTTTTTTTTTTTTTTAGGAAACTTTCTGGTTTTTTGATCTTTTAGAATTGGTAAATATAATTTTGTTTGGGGGGGGTCCCCCTCCGCAAAAAAACCTTTTACTAGACACAAACAGACTAGGGGTACTTTACTAGACTAGCAGGGTTCTTTTTACTAGACACACATGGAAAATTGCAAAAATGATTCTATTCTTATCACATGGACAGGCATCTGTAGAAAGAATTTTTCAGTTAGTAAAGAAATTGAAAACTGATTATCTTAAAGATTTCATATTAGTATATGTCTTAATGCACTATAAACAGGGCTGGCATTAGCCATTTTCCTGCCTGATACAATCTTTGTAGGTTCTTAATTCTGCTGCCACCCTAAATTTTAAAACTTTTGCTACCCTTAAATTCCGCTGTGGAGTGCTTGTCCTAAATTCTGAAAATTTTGCCATCTCTAGATTTCGTTGCTTGGTGCTTCAATAAATTCCAAAAATTCTGTCACACAGTTCCTAACCATATATAATTTCATATTATTCTCAATGCTCATATTACTAAAGAAATAAAATTAGCATCTGCCTTTATACATTCACAGTGCATGCAATTTTTTAGAATTGCAGAAATCTTTAATGAAATCCATGTATTTTAAATTGAAGAGGAAACTTGTTGAGAAAGAAATTGAATTTTGCATTTACGGAGTGCTCGACCACTGTAGATTAGACTATGATTTAGTTGTTTATGGATTGGCATGGTCTTCAGTTTTATTGAAACTGGATCCTGTTTTACAAAGCTTTGTGGATTTCTTCTGCAGCTTTCGGGACATGTTCTATCCGGAGCCTATATTTTGATTGTCATGAACCATCACTTGAATTAAGGCCTGAACATCTGTCTTTCCGTCAGTATTTCAGTATTATGTCACAATCTGACCATCCTAACCAGATCTGTAGGCTTGATGACTGTTGCAACCTTTTATTTGTTGCATGACCTCTTACCAAACTTTTGTTTTGTAAAAGAGCTCAGTCAGTGATAAAAAAATATTGGTCTGATGTGAAGGCCAGGCAGTAAAGTATCTCAATATCCTGCCTTGGGATAAACTGGAAATTCAGCTCCTCAATGCCTTCCATCATCTTGATAAGAGAAACAGTAATGTGATAGTATATAGATGCTTTATCTTGAGCACAGGCATGAATATAGTTCCCATATATATATATATATATATATATGATTCCCATATATATATATATATATATGGTTGAAAAACAGTTGGTCATGTAAGAGCTGCATTTGTGGGTAGACTGAGGACAAACAAATGCCTACTGGTTGCTTTGTATTTAGTGTGGAACTGACTGCTGTATATCTTGCTTGCTGTTTTCATTCATATGTAAGCTATGTAAAAAGAAGTTTCTAATTTTTCCCAACTTGCTCAGTGTACTAAAAGTTTTAGAAAGTTTTTAGGATATTCAAAATCCTGTATTGGTTAACATTATACGAATATATAAAATTTTAAAAATTCATAAGTATCGCCAGAATTTTTATTGCTGGGTTCCTAGGCATGTAGGGTTAAAAAGTAATAAGCTAACCAACACAATAGCAAAGTCTGCAACTGATTTTTCAAATCGGATTGTTCCCTATAGTGATATTAGAATGATCATTTGACTGAAAATCCTAAATTAATTGCAATTATTCTGAGATGATCTGCTTCTGAATATGTTGAGAATGGCTAAACCTTAAATAGAGTATTGGGAGGCTGCTAGAAAAAAGGAGAAAATAATTTTAACCAGTCTTAGAATTGGTCTCTCTCAAAACATACATAAGTATCTTTTGAAGGCTGAGAATGAATGTATTTGTCCAAACTGTGATAGTGTTTTGTCGATGTATCACTTTCTAGTTGAATATGTATAATTAAAGAGACTTCAAATGAAACATTTTCGTTCTGTTGACTGTGTAATCAAGAAAGAGGTCAGTGCCAATTTATTTCAGTACTTAAAAGAGATGTGTCTTTATTTTTTAATTTGATCTTTTTTAAAGTTGTTTTTTTTTTGATATTTTCATAGTATGTATTTTAATGATTTTGAATGTTTTTTTTTTTTTTTACTTTACTAATGTTTTACATCTAGCATCATTATTTGAGTTTTATGCAGTTGTTTATCTCAATATTTAGTATTCAGTTACTTCATTTGATAAGTGTGCTGTGTTTTAAAAATTGTATTTAGCATTAACTTGTGTTAGTGTACAGCTTGTGTTTGGAAGAATCTGAAGTGGAAATAACTTTTGAAGTTATTTCACTATCCACTATCTATCTTAATATTTTTATACTACATTTTATTACTTTATACATTTTTATATAACAGGTAATTTTTTCTTATTTAGTATAAGAATTAATTTTTGTTAAATAGAGACTTCTATTAATAGATGGCTCTGTTTTTTTTTTTTTTTTTTTTTTTTTTTTTTTTTTTTTATTTGCAGTTGGGATGAGTGGGTGCCTGAGTGCCGAGTTTTGAAGTATAATGAAACCAACTTGCAGAAGCAAAAAGAGCTAGCCAAAACTCATATGTAAGAAAATTAATTTTGCAAATTAAGAAAGTTACCTTTATATTTGCTGTTTATTTTTAAGTAGTTGAACAGAGTTGTACATATGTATGTACTATCATCAAGCTTAATGCTGAGTGAAGAGGCTTTGTTTAGGGGGATAGGTGTCGATTTTCAAAATTTCAGGTAAACGGGGATTTTGATTCAAGGTGAATTCTACAAAATTTTACCAAGCTTGAATAAAACTGTAAATTTAATTTATATAAAAAGCAAACATTATTTTTATTGTAAAACTTGTACCTAATATTTTTTAACCCAGTATACTAATATATATGTCATACTTGAGTACCCAATATTTTTTCTTTGTCCTTCCGAGTGTAAACGCATGCCAACTCTGGTGCCACATCAAATTGGCAATTTGAAAAACAAGGCATTTTATGGCATGGATTTTAGATCATTCCTAATATCGGACGTCCGGATCTTAGACTTTATACTGTATTTAGAATTATATTATACTACGTACTATATCCATAGTAAGGAGCTAACTTGTCGTAATGAATGACTTTAGGCTTAGAGTTGGATGACTTACAGATCCAGACCATACCATCGTTCAGCCTGTTTAGGACTATATATGGACCATCCCAAGGTGATTGTAGTTTAGACAGAGTTCTTTCCATTGAATCAGATTCCATTATCACACCTTGTCTCTTTTGTTGAATGGATGTGCAGTAGCTCTATCGTATAGGTTTTCATCTTCTCTGTTGTCAAGTTGACTCGCTCTTGTGCAAAATTATGCATCACTTCAAATTGGCCTTGGAGATCTTGAATGTATTCCTCAGGTGATGAAGGTGCATCAAGAGGGCAACCAAACCAGAGATCACAAGGCAGACGAAGGTCACAACCAAAGAGCATCTGAGATGGGGAAGAGCCAATAGTCTCATGTTTCTCTTCGACCCTAGTATGACTTGGCAGCTTTCTGAGCCGTGTCTTTCAGACTAGGTGTCGGCGTTTTCAGGTGAGGATCCCTTCTGATTATGGATATTTATGTCCTCTGATGCTAAAAATACACTCATGTCCATAAATTAAGGATAATGCAGAATCAGGCAAAGGAAGAGTTAGAAGCAAAACAAATTTGACTTATTTGTAAAGCTTATTTATTAAGCAAAAGGTAAAGAACAAAAAAAGATGCTATATGTTTGATATTATTAAAAAAATTAGCGATTTTTTCCTCCCTGTAGCAAATTAAAAAAAAAAAAAAAAAGAACTTATTTACAAAAGACCAATATTACATGGTTGGTATGATTGTTAATACATTGTATGTCTCCTAGACGATGCAATACAGTCCGTACAACGCCTAGGCATGCTGAGTATCAAATTATCAATCTCATTATGGGGGATATTACACCACTCAAAAAGCAATGCTCACCAAAGTTCCGGTAGACATGTAGGAGGAGGTTGACGGGCTACAACTCGTTGGCCAAGCATGTCCCACACGTGCTCTACTAGATTCAAGTCCAGTGAGAATGCTGGCAGTGTCCATACGGGTGATATCCTCCGATTGAAGGCATTCGCTTACGATGTTTGCACGGTGAGGACGGGCGTTATCATCCATAAACACAAATTGTGCGCCCATGGCGCCCCGAAACAAACATACATGTTGTTCCAGAATGACGTCCCGATAGATTTGGCTTGTCATGGTTCCAATTTGAACATACAGGTTAGTTCTGGAACCCAGAATAATTCCATCCCAAATGAGCACTTCTGCACCACCGTAACAGTGTCGTTCAATGATGTTTCCATGGTGGTAATGGGTACCTGGAGCTCTCCATATGAAAATCTGGCGAGAATCAGCCTGCAAGCTAAATGTGGACTCATCGGAAAACATCACACAAGCCCACTGTTGAGGTGTCCACAATGCATACTCTCTACTCCAGGCTAACCGCAGGCGACAGTGAGTTGCAGTAAGTGGAACGCATCTGACAGGTCTACGAGCATATAGACCAATCTGCCCTAAGCGTCTATACACGGTCTGGCTTGAAATTGTCGTACCGGTGGCTGAAGAGAGCTGACGAGACAGGTCTGAGGCCGTGCTCCGCCTGTTTCTTTTGGCAGTAACTGCCAAATACCGGTCCTCATTCGGCATTGTAACTCTGGGGTGACCTGTGCTGTAATATCTACTCACATTAGCATCATCTTTGAATCGTTGCCAAAGCCTGGAGATGACACTCTGGGCAATTCCAAGTTCGTCTGATACTTCCAGTTGGGTACGCCCACATTCCAGACGGCCGATAATTCTACCACGTAAAAGATCACCCAAATGCGTCCTTTCTGTCATAACTATTTGGTTATTGCGCTGAAATGCTTATGAAGTGCCTGCGAAAAATTTTACTCCTTTGCCTGTATTCCTTATATATCACTCTCTTACACTCTCGTCATTGTGACGTACCATCGATGTCATCTGGTTACTTCCTGAAATTTGCATATGATTATATATTCCTGAAATTTGCATTGATTTGAAGATGTGTGTAGTGATTTTACAGGTGATATATTTATTTTAGAGTTTGATTTCCGCATGACTCCGAATTATCCTTAATTTAATGAGTGTAGTTTGTTATTTTTGAAGTCCAAGACAAAATTTTATTTCCTTAAAAAGTCAAATCTGAGTATGCAAAGATCTGTAATATCTGCCACATATGCTGTGTGATAGTAGGCGACACTTCCAAATGTGATGTTCATGTTTAACTTCTCATCTATGTCAATTTTTTCACCAGATGCAGTCTGAAGGGTAACACAGGATTGACAAATGAGTTTAAATTGTTGAATTAAATCTTTCTGAATAATGGTACCATTAGCTCCTGGGTCAATAATTACATTGCAAGGAACTCTATCAATATGCCCATTGATGGATAGTCCATTACTGTTGCCACTCACTGTAGAAATCATGAGTGCTTTAAAACAGGCTTTTTCAGTATCATTTAAACTCTGCTCTGTAATATGGTTATTAATTTGTTTCCTGCGTCGTTGTTGGGAAATCTTATTTTCCGTGCCCTGAAGTGTTCTGTCGTTCCTTTGCATGTAGCCTTCAGCTCCAAAGTTCCAGCACTTTAGAATTGGTTTCTTTTCACTTCTGTTCCGTCTCAAGGCACTGATTTGTCTGGTAAACTCATCTGTTTTATTTTCCGTGCCGTGGAGTATTCTGCAATTCCATCATATGTGGCCTTTAGTACCACATTTCCAACACTTTAGAGCCAGTTTGTTCTCACTCCTACACTATATCAAAGCATTGACTTGTCTGGATAAATCATCTAAATGAGCCATCACTTGCTCCACTAGTTCATAGACTTGCACTGCTCTGACTGGTTGGCAGTCTCTATGAGTTGCTTGGTGGGCTGCCTCAAATTTCATTTTGTACAACAAAGCACTTTTTACATCCTTGACATACACCATGTGTAGAGCTTTCTGTATTTCAGGGTCCCAGATGCTGTCAATGAAGTACTGCAGGACAGGATTTCTCTTGTTTCTGTTGGGCATTCTGAAAAGGCGAGATGAGATACCTTTTCTACATCCACGGCAAGTTCCTGGAGCAATTCTGTGGGCTTCTGTTGATGCAATTTTAATTGAAACTTGCTGTAGTCTTTTAAACACTTCTTCCCAAAGTGCAGCTCCAACATGCCGGGCAGAGGTTCGAAATCTAGCCCTTTGTTTTCAGGAAGAGTCTGTAGGATATCCACTGCATCTGTTCTCAGAGAAGCAATAAGATGAGAGGCTTTAGCTTGGGAATCCCATCCTTTCACTTCTCCCACTATAGAAAATAATGTCTTATACACTTGCCAGGAGGTCTTCCCTTCATATGTGGATTGCTTTAGAGAGGGGCGAGTGAGTATGGGTAGAAATTTTAAACCTTCAGGATTGTTTCCTGCTGTCACTATGCACTTCTTTAAGGTGCCAACTTCTTTGGCAACTGCAGAAACCCTGTCATCAATTGTTGGAGAGCAGAAACTCTTCCTTCTATTTGTTCTTTTACAGAAGAAACTCTTACTTCAGTTTGTCCAACTCTGTTTTAAATAGCATCTATTCTGCCATCTATAGCCTCAAAATTGTGTTATATTATGCAGATAATTTTGTTTTTTATTTCAAATCCCACTTCTGATACCAAAAAAGTGTTGCGTGCGTATGGGTTTGTAATAAATTGAATGCACAAGTGTGATAAAAAGTTAATAAAATTTATTCTTATCAAAAGAAATAAAATGCTGGATTTTTCATCAAAGATATTCATACAATATCATGCAATATAATCAGTAGCAATATTTTAAACTATTAAAACATTAAATAGAACATAATCCAAAGCACAGAGAGAGCTAATCCATTCTCACCGCGAATTCACTACAATCAATAAACAACAGTTATCTAAACAACAAGTCACAATGGTATAACAAATAGAAAAGGGTACATGCCTTAATTATCATTTGGGGATGGCCACATATCATTGGGTGTATATACACTGCTGGCCATTAAAATTGCAACACTAGGGAAAGAATGATCTCATGAATGTCAAAATCACATGAACGGAAGAAGAAGTTGGGATATGCACGTGATTAGTATTTCTGCGCATTTAGATGATGCAGGAGGGAGAAATGACATCTGAAGCACTGCTTAAAAGAAAAGTTCTGTAGTGGATTTCTCAGTTAGAAAGTGCTTTGTAAGGTTCGAGTTTGCTTACAGTATCATGTTATTCTGCGAGCAAGAAGAGTAAATGCTTAGCAAGTTTTGAAATTCAATAGATGCTTTATCATTGCCTATCGAAAGTGTAGATTATCGTTCCATGATATCGGCGGTCACACTGGTCTACATTCTACAACTCTCGTGAATATGGAATCAATGGATTGTTGAGGGTCAGACTGAACAGCATGCAGGATCTCAATGCCCTCTCAACATCTGCTCAAACAACATCTATTGTTTAAAGCATTCTAGAAAATATAAAAAGTTTTTTTTTTCTTTCTACAAGTATTCACTTTAAGTATCTGTTTAAGAGAATGAATTTTCATGTTAGATAAGCTTAACATATTTTCCTATTTTATTTCTGTGCTTGGAAATTTTTATTAGGTTAAAAAATGGATTAAATACTGATAATAAGATTACTATATCACATGTAAAACATTATATTGGTTGATGTAGTGGGATTTATCAGTTTTAGCAGATTATTTAAAACAGTTTTATGTGAAGTTGTCAAAATATCTTAAAATGAAGCTTCTATTACTTTCCATATCTTCACATGCCTTGCTTTTGAATACAAATTAAGTTTTTTTCATTAATATTAAGCAGCTGTCTGTTGATTTCTGATGATGCAATAAATTTGTATCCTTTAGAAGGATTTAACTTTTAAGGAATTTTGTCTGAAGTAAATAACATTTGACAGAAGTTTTAACTCACTCTCTTCCAAAAATGCTGTTTTCTAACTGTTAGATGATATTGCTGAAATATTACCAACAAAATTCAAATTATTTAAAATTAGGTATAATAAATTCCTAGTAGACATTTTTACTTAAATATGTATTTCTAATTTAAGCATTTTATTTAAAGTTTCTTAATTTTTTTTATATATTTATATGCAGGAAAGCCAAAAAGTCAAAAGCAGCAAAAGTTGTCATGAAAAAGGAGCTTGAAAAAGAAGCAGTACAACCAAGTTTACCAGAAAAGCCATCAAAAGTGAAGAGTGAGAAAAAAATAGTTGCATGTAATATTTTAACTTGTGCTTTTGCATTCTAAAAAGTATTCTCCATGAAATTAATTTTATCTTTCGTTAATTCATTCACTTACAGAATTTGCATTAATTTTTTAATTGAATTTATTTATTTTTAATATTTTGTTTGTGTTTTCAGCTCCTACACCAGCAGAAACAACACATTCTGAAGTTCAGACAGAAACTGTCAAGAAAAAAAAACCTCGGCCTGAGCCTTGTTTTGTGGTAAATTATGCATTTTTATTTAGTTGATAATAGATTATTATCAAACTTGCAGTTAAATTCGTTATAATCTTAAGTAAATTATGCATGTTAACATTTAAGACCTGCATTGATGATAAAGCATTATGAATGGACTTGTATTATATTTTCTAATCTGCTCATCCATTCAAAGTTCATGAATTGAATTAAGTTACAAACATCTAGGTGATAGTTAAAAATTGATTGATTATAAATTAGTTAAAATTTTAAACACATATTCTGTATAACAAAAATCAATATTTAAAAATATAAGCCTTTCATTGTACCTTATTATTTTAAATTATTTTAAAATTATATTATTTTAAATTTCATGATCATATTAAGAGAAATATTGATCTCAATTAGATATGTCATTACAGTTAAGCAAAAAGAGATATTTCGGTAATGATGTAATATGTGATTTACCACTTTCAGTTGTTTGTTTTTTAGATGGCGACGGTAAAATTTTTTGTTGTTTTAATTGTTTCCGCCATTGTATTGCACTATTATAAACTATTGAATTTTTATTTTATCAAGCTGTTATTATTTAATATGATCTAATTTAATTAAATTAAAAATATATTGGGATATTAAATTAATTAATGGAATCATTTTCAATTATGAATACTTAATTTTCACATTTTAAAACATTATTTTACTGCACCATCTAAAAAAATAAATAAATAAATAAAAATGGTAGATCACATATTATATCATTACTAATGCTTCTTTCATGAATAGTTCTGCCTATTGCAATTAAAATTCATAATTGAATATAGTGCGTATACTAGTATCCTAGTATACACAGATAAAGCAAAATCTGAGATCTGTAATCTATGTTGTTACATGCCTCTAATCAAAAAATTACTTGAAAATCAGATCTTTAATTCAAACCTGGGGTGAAAAGTATATATATATTGTGTGTGTTTACTTAATTTTTGTATCTGTGTTAAATTGAAAGAGCTTTATTAATATTAAATGTTTTAATAAAAATTTGGTACTTTTTAATTATCTGCACCCTTACAAAACGTTGCCAGCTCATTGGTATCTTTGTCAAGACATGTTTAGCTAACTTTACAGCTCAGAAGAAATGTTCTGTTCATAAATAGTCAGAGTCATAAGTCAGAGATCTGAAATCACCAGGGCATGAGGATTTTGGATTTTGAAAATTTTCGGATTTCAAATGATCAGTTTAAATCTAGTAACAACATGTTGTGAAATAGTTGTTACAAAATAACAGAGCATTTAAAAACTTTCAGGAAACTAAAATTTATTTTAAAAAGGCTCATTGTTAATATTTATTTTCTTTATTAATTATTTCTTTTAAATTTAAGAAAATTTGTTTTAAGTTTTAATACTTTCTTTTTAATTTTGTATAGAAACAATTTCTTTTTCAGTCAGAGATCCACTGTTTGAAAAGCTAAAGAATTCTTACTAAATAGTGATCTGAAATATTTCCATTTTCAACAACCTTTTCATCAACCTTTTTATTATACAGTACAAAGTCGGAGATCTGAAATCATCAGGCTCTGATGATTTTGGATTTCAAGTGATCAGTTTAAATCTAGTAACATAATATGTCAAAATTATAAAATTAAAAATATGAAATAGTTGTTTAAAAAGTAAAAAAAGCATTAGGGAACATTCCCTAATGCTTCCCTAGCATTCAGGGAACTAAAATTTGTTAAAAAGAGGCTCATTTATTGATATTTATTTTGCTTTATTAATTATTTCTTTTAAATTTAAGAAAATTTATTTTATCTTTTTGTATTATCTTTTTAAATTTATAGAGAGACAATTTATTTTTCAGTCATGAAGATCCACTGTTTGAAGAATTCTTTCTAAATAGGGATCTGAAATGTTTTCATTCTCAACAATCGTTTTATTCACGATCAATACTGACATTTTCCAGATTTTAAACCACTCTACATATTTTGCCTTCTTGTAACTGACTGATTATTGGGGCATTATCAGTGCATTGACATCTTAAGTTATATCATATTCATTTAGCATTACTTTCCATGTCTTCTCATATTCCATTAGAAAACTTAGCAGTTCGTCTCTGTTGAAAGCACTTAACACTTTTTTGTTTGGTATGTTTCATCAGTGCCAGGCCACCAATTTGATTTCATTTCTTTTCTGAAACAACTATGTTTTACATCTATCTGCAGTCTTCTTTCCTAACTGAAATGGGTTTTTACAATTTGGGATTTGCTTGGAAATAAATAAGTGAATATCATGTTTTTCAAGAAAGACGTATGCTGTATTTGAATAACTAGCTCATGAAATTAAAATGTGACTTGAATTTGAAATATTTTCTGCCATTTCAGCTTACAATATATTTTGCTGTTTGATAATTGGGGCATTGCCATTGTAATGGAAGACTTAAGTTATATCATCTTCACAGCGCAGCCCACAAAAAGGCCATAGGGTGATGTAAAGTCTGCCAGGAGGGTCGGGCTGCATCCCTCATATCATATTATCATTTCTTCACATTATTCTATAAGTTAAAAACTTCCACTTTTTACTTGAGATATTACATCCTTCAAATTCATGGCTATCGTTATCTTCATAATGAAATATAGTAGGTGACTATAAATTATGCAAAGTATTTTTAAAAACATATGCAGACCCGCCTTCTCATGACCTTCCCATGCTGCACACAGCAGATTTTATATTAAAATATTTTAAGAATTCTTACATGGTTTTTGCCGCTGTACTGATTTTGAAAAGGCTGCTATACACTGACTACCAACAAGTATTTGGACACCTATGCAAATGACGATATCTGCGGTCCTAAGGTACGTCACAGATTCCGCCGGTATATATCGTGTAGGAAACAGCATCGGCTTTAGTGGCATGCAAGATGCCTCGCAGTTTGGAGCTTTCTGATTTCGAGAAAGGTATAATTATTGGGTATCACAAATATGGCCGATCCTTAAGGACATATCTAGCGATCTGAAGTACCTAAAATCGACAGTGGCCTATGTGATTAAGAAGTGGAAGGTGAACGGTGACTGTCGGAATGTGCCCCGAGTCGGCAGACCAACGAAACTGGGAGATAGATACTGACGAGTGCTGTCCAGAGAAATTCGGAAGAACCGCACCCAACCGATGGCCCTCATCCGCTAGGAGTTTCAACAGACATCCGGGAGTATTGTTTCAATGAATATCATCCATAAGGAAGCACATCTGCTTGGTTTTCATGGTTGTGCTGCTACCCATAAGCCTTTGATCACAAAGTCCAACCATGCTGCTCGGTTAATGTGGTGCAAAGCACAGCGAAATTGGACCGTAGATCAGTGGAAATGGGTTCTTTGGAGTAACGAATCAAGGTTCACCCTTTACTGTTCAGATGGCAGGGTCTGGGGCTGGCATCTACCTGGAGAACGTCTCCTGCCAGAATGCATTATGCCAGCAGTCAAGTTCGGCGGAGGTGGAATTATGGTCTGGGGGTGTTTCTCCTGGTATGGGCTGGGATCCTTGTTCCCCATTCATGGTAAGCTCAACTCCGATGCTTACTGCACTATTTTGGATGACAATGTGCTTCTACGTTGTGGCAGTTTTACGGTTGGACCCCCTGTTACTTTCAGGACGACTGCCAGTTGTCACGTTTCGACGTTAATCAAGGCTTGGTATGGTGCCAATGGAGTTCATCGAATGGACTGGCCTGCCCAGAGTCCAGACCTGAACCCTATCGAGAACCTCTGGGACGAGTTGCATCGCTGAATTCAGGGGTGCACTACTTGTGCAAAATCGGTGAAGGAACTCATATGTCTACTCCAAGCTGAGTGCAAGAAAATACCACTAGCTGTCATACAAAGACTTGTGGAAAGTATGCCCCGGAGCGTTCACACTGTAATTATCTCTCGTGGAAGCTCTACCAACTATTGATTTTGAATAAAGTTAGTTTTTCTTTTCTATCACGGGTGTCCAAATACTTATTGGTAGTCAGTGTTCAGTGAGCACAAAATTTTGATATCCATTGGCTGATTGATGGATTTACAGCTCTGTTGTATGAGTCAAATGGAGATGTTATCTTTTACTATAATTTTGATGAAATAGTAGTAATAATAATAGACTGAACAAAATAAATAAACTTTGTGAAATCACAAAATTGAGTGAGAACTGAATACTTAAGTTAATTAAGATCTCTCATAATTAGTATCTGATCATTTTCTCCTATCTTTTATGCAGTAAAAGAAGACTAGTATGTGTCAAATTTTTTCCATGTTAAAAAAATGTCGGTCTTCAGGTTTCACTGACTGTCTACAGGATTACAGAAGATAGAAAAATGCTGACATCCCTATCCACAAAACCCTTTGAGGAACAAACATGAAAATATTTATATTATACTTGCAGATATATAAAGGTGAAGCATCATATAGGATGATTCAGTATGAAAAGCATCATTATCCAAATGATAAAGATTTTTTTTTTTTGGTGTGTGTGTGTGTGTGTGTGTGTGTATGTATATATATGAAAAAAAATTGCAAAAAATTAAGAAAAATTTTGTTTTATAGCAAGCTTGCTTCCCCTCTCCTAGGATCATATTCTCTGTTCCTACAATCTGTGAGATAAAGAAAATCCTCCCCCCAAAATATGAGTGTTCTATATAGATATCATGCTAGTTATTGGATGTCTGGATTTTGGAATAAGTGCTATCATAAAAAAGAGGAGTATTTTAAAACAAAAGTATATATTAATGATATTTTACATTTTTAAAGTTGGTGTATACTTTTGAGCTATTGCTTTCAGAATTTCTTCAAAACAGTTTTTCTTTTGGTTACTGGGCCTTTCCACTAAATAAATTTAGTGGGATAAGTTAGAAGGTAGTATCTTTCAATTCTTCCCTCTCTCTCCTTTTTCTCCACTTAAATGAACTCCAATGTTTTCCAATAGGTTATATAAAGCTGCCACTTTCTAGATTCACAAAATTATAGTTTTTATACCGCACATTCCAATTCATGGCAGTTTTCCTTCTC